GGTCAAGCAAAGGGCTTGTCGAAAGCAGCCGGTCGTGGGCGTGGTGACAAACGTCCCAAGGGCGGCAAGGGGCCGTCTTCGGCCACTCAGGGTTGAAATGCTGGCGGCCCTCTTGGGGCCGCTGTTCGCTCCAGGAGGGTGACGCCACCTACTGCTTGCAACATGCAGACAGCTTGTTCACCCGCTGATGGCGAAGTGTTTCCGTTGCCGTTGCTTCCGCCACCAACAGCCCCTGCCTCGTCCTCAGCACGATCACGCAACAGGTTTACTAAGAAGTTGCGGCTCTGGAAGTACGCAATCGGTTTGATTCATTTCTTGAATTTCTTGCATGTGGGCACAAGTAGACACACCAAGAAGCTTTATGCAGCAGCGCTGGTCGATGAACCGAACCAGGCTCAGAAAGCTGTTTGGAGACATTTGCTTCAGATTAGCAAAACTGGTCTTCGGGTCCGCCGGGAGGTCCCTCCGACAGGCGGCCAGCCGGCCGTCGCGGCGCTCGTCAAATCTGCGAAGGTGGATGCGATGGGTTATGCGACGGTTTCCAAGACGCATGCCCAAGTGCCCATGGACGCTTCTCGCATTGTGGAACCGTCGGATGAACGTGTAGTCGACATGTTGCAAGCACTACCGCAAGATGAACGTCAGTTTTATGCCCGCGAAGAGAACGTCGTCGAACTTCTTGGTAAGAGCAACGTCATTCAACAAGAGTTGGAACAGCAGTATGCTTTCGTTGGTGGTAGCCTTGAAGAGTACCTGAAGTATTTTCATCGGCAGGATATTCCAACAAACATGTGGGAGTGGAAACGCTTCCGTGATGTGAAAGCAGTCGCTGGCTTTTCGGTGGTTCCCAAGAAAGATGGAAGTTCTCAGCGCAAATTGCTTATGTGTTGTTCGTTCAACTACTTGCTCTGCGACCCCCGAAATCGTTCTTCTCTAGGAATGCAGGGGGCTGGAGCCCTGACACGCATACATGTGACCGCAGGGGACAAGTTAGAGCTGGCGGCCTGTGATCAATCAAACGCCTTCACACGGGTTGCAGTGCCCAGCTGGATGGTGCCATATCTAGCTGCTCCCCCTGTCACTGCTGCATCAGTTTGGGGCTTGTTGCCGGGCCACCTAAAAGCGACCATCAGTGAGTTTGACTTGGTATCTCCATGCTACAAACGCTTGCCGATGGGATGTAGTCATTCTGTCCACATTTTGATGATGATCAACCTGCAGGTCATAGGACGGTCTCTGAGAGCGAATGCCGTGGTGGAGACAGGCCAACATGACATTCCGCCTGAAGAACAGCCGAATAGATTGTTGGAAGATCTAGGGTGTGATCACTCATTCGGTGGCTGCAATGATGATGAATGGTGGTTTCGCTTTCAGGTCGGAGTTGGGCAGCGTTTCGAGTCGGGCTACTCCGTGCAGGAGTGGTGGGATGCAATTCGCGCAGCGCGTTCATCCAGCGACCGCACAATCGTTGTCATGAACTTCTCCGGAGGGGAACGTAGAGACGGTGACGTGCAGGAACATGTCGAAAAGCTTGCCGCGGAGGCAAATATCAAAGTGTTGATGATCACAGTTGACCTTGGTTGTGATTCTCGCTGGGATGTTGCGCAGCCGGAAACTTTCCATGAACTCATGCGTATGCTGGAAGGCTACGTTGACATCATTGTCGGGGGTCCGCCTTGCTCAACGGTGTCTCGAGCCAGGCATCGCCGCGGAGGTGAGGGTCTCAACCTTCCAAGACCGCTACGTTTTCGTTCATGCCCATGGGGTCGCGCAGGTCTCACTACCGCGGAATCTGGAAGACTCCGTGAGGCAAACCGCTTGTGGTTACATTTCATGATGGCTTGCGAGAAAGTATCGGCACGAGGAGGGTGCCACTTGTTTGAACATCCTGAAGACCCAGGGGTTGAGCCCTTCCCTTCCATTTGGATCACCCCAGAGATGATCCAATTGGAGTTGCGTACGAAAGCACGGCGAGTCACTTTTGACCAGTGCGCTTGTGGAGCGCCAGTCAAGAAGGGTACAACTGTGTCAGGAACACTGGACGGCATTGGCGAGTTCGAGCGGTTTCAATGTCCGGGCGTTGGTCCAGAGCACTTTCATGCAGGGCATGCCACAGGGCTTGATGAACGCGGTTCTTTTCGGTCAAGGCGGCTTCAGGCTTACCCGCCAGCCATGTGTGAACTTCTGGCGAGGTGCATCGTGAAGAGTGCTCAGCGTATGGTGACAGAAGGCTCGGGCCCCACTGGTTACTTACTTCCTGCGGGGGTTCAAGCAGTTCCGACAGCATGGTCCTTCTCACATTCACAGATGCACTCGGCGGGAGTTGACATTCTCAATGAGCAGGTAGTGCATGGGCGGCGCACGCTGCTTTCCTCAACACAGGCAGGTGTGTACTTACACGTGGATGACACATTAACGTTCAGCACGGAGTCATGTAGTTTGTCTGCCGCAGACATGATGCACACCGTTGCCAATTCCATGGAGGAGATTGGTTTTGTAGTGCCTGAAAGAGTACTGCCCAATGAAGTGGTGAAGGTGATCGGCTATGCATGGTCGCCAAGTACAAGCACGTTCAGCTTGCCTCCAAGGAAGAGGGTTTTACTACAGCGAGCTCTGCGAGCGTTGGCCGTTCAACGTCGTGTTGAGGTCGCTGTCCTTCGGGCCGTGATTGGTCTTTGGTCTTTCGGAGCACAGCTGAGGCGCGACCTGTACGCAGTCCCTTTCGTAATTTACAACTTCATTGACAAGTTTGATGGCTTAACGGTCAGGCTTTGGCCGTCGGTCCGCCAAGAACTCATCCACATGGCCACTGCAGTTGATTTCATGTTTCTGAATGTGAGCATGCCATTTTCTTCTGAAGTTCTAGCAACGGATGCCATGGGACACAACGAAA